ATTCCTGTGAATGGTGGAGTACTAAGTAATATTTGAACTAAAATTAGAACTGAAGACCAGTTTTTGAAGTCACTTCGAAGGTCACTTCGAACCAGTTTCTGAAGAAGGTTGCAACATGGCATCCGAAACGTCAAACCTTTTCTTAAAAGACGCACGGCAAAACCCGAAAGTTTCCAGTGTTAGTTCTAGTTTTAGTTCTAATTTTAGTCAATTAACTCCGACCATGAAAGCTTTTGTACTTATAGTACTAAGGCCCGTTACAATACAATTACAATTTATAAAATACAATACAATACAATTTATCTCGTAGATAATAGGGTCGTGCGTACTACCACCTCCATTTATCTCATAGTTAAGAAATCCTTGAGATAACCAAGGAATCTAGGGATTTTTGGTCTATTATGTTAAATTGATAGCTCTATGTGGTTAAAAGACCTACTATTAGGTATTTTGACGATATTCTAACCTGTTCTAACCTTAAAATTAAAATTTGGAAATGGAGACTGAGANCAAATATTGTTTTCTCAAAAACTAAAAGTTATTTTTCAAATCGGGTTGGTTCATTGGGAGGAAGACACTTTTATTAACACTTTGGGAAATTTTCATATTCCAAGAACTGGATTTTATACGAATTTTTAAAACTTAATCGGCGAAAATTGCAAAATTCGAAAAAATTGTCGATCATTTCAAAAATTTATTTCTCAACTACTGAAAGTGATTTTTCAAAACGGTTTTTTGCATTAAAAAGAGGATACTTTTATTAATAATTGGTGATATGTCCACAACGATTCTTCAAGAAATTAATTTTATAGCGAATTTTGCAAGTTATCCATGATAATTGCAACATCGAAAATGTTATCAAAACTTCAAATATTGTTTTCTCAAAAACTAAAAGTTATTTTTTAAAACGGGTTGGTTCATTGGGAGGAGGACACTTTTATTAACACTTTGGGAAATTTTCATATTTATATTCCAAGAACTGGATTTTATACGAATTTTTAAAATTTAATCGGCGAATGTTGCAAAATTCGAAAAAATTGTAGATTATTTCAAAAATTTATTTCTCAAGAACTAAAAGTGATTTTTCAAAACGGCTTTTTGCATTAAAAAGAAGATACTTTTATTAATAATTGGTGATATTTCCACAGGGATTCTTCAAGAAATTAATTTTATAGCGAATTTTGCAAGTTATCGATGATAATAATTGCAACATCGAAAATGTTATCAAAACTTCAAATATTGTTTCAAAATTTTTTTTCTCAAGAACTGAAAGTAATTTTTCAAAACGTTTTTTTTTTGCATTAAAGACAGGATACTTTAATTAATAATCGAAAGTGATAATAGCGACAGTTCTGTTAGTAATGATTGTGATGATGAATTACAAGCGAAGAGAAGAAAACTAGACGAAACTGCAAGAGATTTTATATATCGTATTGGGATTGTTACAATGAGGTTGGTAATGACAAACCTGATATAACTAAAGTTGCAATTAACTCCGGCCATGAAAGCTTTTGTACTTATAGTACTACGGCCCGTTACTACTAAACCAATGCTATCTGTTAGTTAAGCTATCTATAAGATACAATTTATCTCGTAGATAATAGGGCCGTGCGTACTACCACCTCCATTTATTTCATAGTTAAGAAATCCTTGAGATAACCAAGGAATCTAGGGATTTTTTGGTCTATTATGTTAAATTGATAGCTCTATGTGGTTAAAAGACCTACTATTAGGTATTTTGACGATATTCTAACCTGTTCTAACCTTAAAATTAAAATTTGGAAATGGAGACTGAGAAAAGGCGATGAACCACCAATTTCACCAAAGAAGAATACGAACATCTTCTTGAATTTGTTATCAAGTATAAAAACGTAATAGAAAACAAAAAAAGTGATGCAGTTACGTGGCAAGGAAAGCAACAAGTATGTGTATCTCGTATTATTGTATGTTAAAATGTGATGGTAAACAATAATGGCACAACTAACTGAAGATGCCAATAGTACACTCATTCCTGCAAAATCTGCTATGGATAGCATCATGTTACCTATTGCATAAAACCGAAGAGTCAGCAACAAACGATTTGAAGGAGGTACAGTCGTGTTCACTGGAAATGCGCACTCAAGGTCAAGCGCTGTTGTGAGATCCGACATGCCGCTGCCTAAATGGGCTGAGCCAAGCACACACGAAGCTCGTGGAGAAGGGACTTGTGGCGGTCCAGGTTAGCCAGCGGCATATCGGATCTCACAACAGTGCTTGACCTTGAGTGCGCATTTCCCGTGAACACGACTGTACAGCATTATTACTAAAATTTTGATGAATTTTACATTAAATAATAGGAATCAACAAATTACTTACGTCATGGATGGAGGTTTATTACATCTTCTATTTGATTCAAAAGGTGATGAAAAANTATTTTGACGATATTCTAACCTGTTCTAACCTTAAAATTAAAATTTGGAAATGGAGACTGAGAAAAGGCGATGAACCACCAATTTCACCAAAGAAGAATACGAACATCTTCTTGAATTTGTTATCAAGTATAAAAACGTAATAGAAAACAAAAAAAGTGATGCAGTTACGTGGCAAGGAAAGCAACAAGTATGTGTATCTCGTATTATTGTATGTTAAAATGTGATGGTAAACAATAATGGCACAACTAACTGAAGATGCCAATAGTACACTCATTCCTGCAAAATCTGCTATGGATAGCATCATGTTACCTATTGCATAAAACCGAAGAGTCAGCAACAAACGATTTGAAGGAGGTACAGTCGTGTTCACTGGAAATGCGCACTCAAGGTCAAGCGCTGTTGTGAGATCCGACATGCCGCTGCCTAAATGGGCTGAGCCAAGCACACACGAAGCTCGTGGAGAAGGGACTTGTGGCGGTCCAGGTTAGCCAGCGGCATATCGGATCTCACAACAGTGCTTGACCTTGAGTGCGCATTTCCCGTGAACACGACTGTACAGCATTATTACTAAAATTTTGATGAATTTTACATTAAATAATAGGAATCAACAAATTACTTACGTCATGGATGGAGGTTTTATTACATCTTCTATTTGATTCAAAAGGTGACGAAAACTTTTTTTCGAGACACGAAATCTCAACTCTACTCCTTATTATCCATTCGCTTCTTACAGGAAATAATTCATTGATTTCTTCAAAAATTTGTTCTTCATCATCAATGTCGAAGAAATTATCCATGATGATTTTATCTAATGTTAATTATTAATAGTTTTTTATTCTTAGTTAATATATAATAAGTTTATATTATTTTAACTGAAATAGTAAAACGCTCGAATTTTATACGTCAGTATAAATCCTATTTGAGATTAGGTATCCGCAGTTATCCCTGAGATAGCAACTTATCCGACACCCAATCCACGGGTTACAGATATTTCAAAAGTTATCCCTTGGATAGCGGTATCTATAAGATAAATACAGTGGTAGTAACCAATTTTTAAGCTATCCGATAGATAATGCTATCAGAGACTTTAACTATGAGTGGTAGTAGTGGGCCTTATTAATAGATTTTTAATATCCGGCCAAAGCCGATTTTTCCGCGAGGTTGTGGCTAGCTTCTTGGTCAACCTCTTCATCTCGTAGGAGGTTTACCTTCTGTTCGTCTACCAACTGATCGCCCTGAACGTTAACGATCTTTTAGTGAGGGAAGAGGTACAATTTGGCAACAAATAAGGTTTTGTTTCGGAACGCTGCAAGAACTTTGCGCTCAACAACACACATTGAAAGCATAGCTACTGTCCCCTTTAACTAGTTTAACAACGAGTTGTGATTGCAAGTTATTTTTAAGATCTGCTCCGCATACACCATTGTGAGAACGGGAGAGAGGGTTAAAAAGAGATGACAGATTATTATATCATATGCTGCCCCTTTTCATGGTCCTCGGGTTGACAATCGCTTTTCATGTATTGCTTTATAAAATTGCCTTTTTGACCAGTTGGTCAGTTTCATTGTTGCAATTTCACAGCTTTTCGGCACATTTATAAACAAACGTTTTTATTTGTGGACAGTTAGATACCTCGAATGCATTACATTGTCATTTAAAGGTATCTTTTATGTCCAGAAACGCCGCAATCGCTATTTTTGGTTTGTGAGTACATAGTCTAGTTATTATACCAATTAGTGCAGCATCATAGATTTTTCTTTCTTGAAGACTGATCAATGAAATTTGAATAATAATCAATAAAATTTCCCAATACGAATATAAGTTTTATTCAATGAATTTCTCAAACGAAAATTGGAAACTAGAAAAGTACGATATAAGGCAAAAGAATCTTCACAAAGGGATATAAATTTCATTCAAAATCTTGTCTGCAATATCGATTTCTCTCGCCCATTCTCAAATTCCCATGAATCGGAATGGTTAAACGAGAATCTCCTTGAATGTTGCCCGCGCAACCGACGCGTCGCGACGCCCAACCCTCTTTTTCCGGATCAATACCAAGTTTCGCGAATGAAACGAGAGATTCCACAGTAACCTCGAAAGTATTGAAAGAGTCATTTATTTTTTATCTTTTTGGTCAATGGGGATAGAAAAACTAGGTCACTCAATGATTCAATGAAACAAGATGGATTTTTTTATAACTTTTTTTATGCCTTCTACTTTATTACTCATTCAAAGTTTATCTTTAATTCATTCATTAAACAAAAGTAACATAATTTTCTAATAACACCCACATATTCTAAAAAAGATGATTTATTATTAAATTTTTAATTTCGTCTTAACATCCTTTGATGAAATCCTTTTTTTAGTTTTTTCGGTTAATTTTTTATCCGAATTTAATAGATTTATTTCTCCCCCGCTGGGATTTTGTCGACGATGAGGTCACCATTGACGTCATTACTGTCCTATTTCCAAGATTCGATCGGTTCCGGAAGGTTGGGTTTCTTTATACAGGGTTTAAGCGTTTATTTTAGCGATTATTAACTAGATTATTCTTTTAAAAGTGTGTTTTACCTTCTATTTCTTTTTCAGATATCAAGGCAATCTATAGATGCATGTAAAGATTATTTTAGAGATGATCTGGTGAAGACGGATTGGCAATTGATGGTGGAGCTGAAGAAGATCTTCCAAATATTGTAGCCAATCATCATAAAGTTACTATTTTTTTTAATGGTCATTTAAAATCGAACCCCAACAAACAATGTCTCTTTAATCAGTATCATTAATGAAAAAAGTATGTGGATTAAAATAAAATACATGAAAAAAAAGTATAATATACAAGTTAACGTGAGCGTGTTGTGTATATTTATATAAATATATAAGACATAAAACATACAAAAAAACAGAGAAACTATAAGATAAAAAATCGCATAAATGTAAACTAAATAGGTTTCCAAATAAATTTTGTGCAATTTACGAAAAGGTTTCTTTTATTATATTCCTTGAGGCTGTTTAAATTCATATCGCGATAGTTTTGAATGTAGTTTTGGCAGTGTCCGCTTTGGAAATGTCCCCAAAACAGTTTTGCAAGCCAAAAATAGAACGCTAAGCTTATGAAAGGCGTGTATGAATAGTCGAATATTTTTAGATCTCCAAGTTGATTCGATGAATGTAAATTAAATAAAAACGTAGTTAATAAAAAAATATTTTAAATCAATGCCAAAAATAAAACATTATTTTTTTTTGTTTTCAAAGCAAGAATTTCAAATATTCTTTTTATTCGTTTCGAAAAATTACAACTTGCTATAAAAATTGAACGGAAAATCTTAAAGAAAAAATAATCGCTCGCTTGCTGTACGCGAGACTAAATAAACAAACTTTTATTGTTATTCTACGAGTGAAATGTGTGCTTATTATAGGAAAGACCTAGCACAACGGATCAAACAAAGCTACGCGAGTTATGCAATATAACACAAGGTAAACAAATCATTATCATACTTGGCTTCTGTCAAGGTTGTTACGTGTTCTATTCTTAACAGTTTCTCCTTTAATTGCAAATTTAAATCAAACATGTTTCATTAGAAACGATTTCAATTATTTTTCATTCAAAATTATTTCTAATTATTCCAGTGAAACAGAATCCGATTAATTAATTAGTAGAAAATTAAATCGAAGTTTGATAAAATTATTATTAAATAATTATGGCAAATTTTGATTCTATCTCTCATTAAAGATATAGCAAGTTTAAACTTTTAGTTTCATTAACATTGGACTAGATAAGCATTACGCAATGAAATACTGGAGGAATGTCCGTTTTTGTACTTCTGATTTCTTTGCATAGTACATGGAAGAATAAGAAGTCGATATGAAAAGAACCTAGATAAAACCAAATTTGCCTTTAGGAATGCACTTGACACTTGTGAAGCCCTAACCAACGTAAAAATATCTGTATGTTTCATCGATTATGAAAAAGCTTTAGATAGAGTTCAGTATGGAACTCTTTTGAATATATGAAGAAACTCGGAAATCGATGGTAGAGAACTTGTATGTGGAAATAGAAAGCAGTGGTTCGAATAGATGGAAGACTAACAGCCGAATGTTGAATTCATTCTGTCTCCACTATTACTCAACATCCACTCGGAGATGATTTTCAAACGGGCTCTATAAGGTAAAGACATTAGAGTCAAGAACTGATCAATAATATTCGATATGCCGAGGACACGGTCATCTTGTGCGATAACATCTAGGGCCTCCAAAACTTATTGGATTGACTGAGACAAAATTTATGATATTGAGTTGCTAATCACACACCGATTCCACCTATGCGAAGTTAGTCCCCAATTTTTCTAGCATAGTATTTTGATTATAACAAGAGAACCAGTCAACCGATTTCGATAAACAATGTCTCATTCGAAAGCTTAATCTTTGACTAATACGAAAGTGGAAATGCCCGATTCGAAATCTCTTTCGAATTTCGCTAAAACGCCAACATAATGCGAAGGTACACGAAAATAACACAAAAATGACCTTTTTTAAGTGGTGATAACTCGTAAACGATGTACCCGATGATCATGATCTATACGTCATTCGATTCGTCATAGTGTCTTCTATCGAAATCACAAAATGCCCGATTTAAATTCGCTCCCGTTAACCTTGTACAGCCCCCAATATAAAAAAAAAAATTTAAACTAAATCGACTATAATTAGAGAACGGTTTGACGGATTTTAATGTTTTATATCTCAATTAAAAGTGTGTGTCTGGCCGAATACGGTTGTCGAAATGCCCGATTCTAAATATTTAGGGATTTTAATTAAAACACAAAAAACGAATTAATCAAACACATCAATTATCTCCTTAACTAATTAACCATTTTTAGTCATCAACATCTCGATCAAAAGTATGAGCTTCAATGAATGCCAAGGTGGAAATGCCCGATTTCAAAATTTACTAATTACCTGCGTACGGCTATTGAAATGATCCCGTGAATCTGCCGACTGGAAGTCTAGCCCCCAAACTTTCGATTGAGATATAAAACATTAAAATCAGTCAAACCGTTTTTTCCGTCAAGCAGTTTTTGGCCAAAAACTGCTAAATTCACACATTTTAGCCATTCTTAAACCTTGTTCGGGTCGATAACTTTCTTATATGAGCAGGAGAAAACTCTAGAGCTATATCTATCTTATCGGAAATTTCCTGCTCTTTCTAGTGATGCATAACACGCGGCGATCACGCGCTTGCACACGTACATTTTTGGCCAAAAACTGCTAAATTCACACGTTTTAGCCATTCTTAAACCCTGTTCGGGTCGATAACTTTCTTATATGAGCAGGAGAAAACTCTAGAACCATATCTATCTTATCGGAAATTTCCTGCTCTTTCTAGTGATGTATAACACGCGGCGATCACACGTTTGCACACGTACATTTTTTGCTAAAAACTGCTAAATTCACACGTTTTAGCCATTCTTAAACCTTGTTCGGGTCGATAACTTTCTTATATGAGCAGGAAAAAACTCTAGAACCATATCTATCTTATTGAAAATTTTCTGCTCTTTCTAATGGTGTCTTTTAATAACAATTATACACTTTAATTTAACAACAATTATTAATTAAAGTTATACAGGATGGTCAGAAATGTGCGTCAAATTTCCGTATCTCAAAAAGGTTATTTTTTTAAATGGCAACTCTACTTTTTTCCCTCACCACTCTACTAGTATGGGATGTAATCACAAAGTCTCCTGATTTTTCAGCATATAATACGGTGGTGAGGAAATTTCCGATAAGATGGATATGGTTCTAGAGTTTTCTCCTGCTCATATAAGAAAGTTATCGACCCCAACAGGGTTTAAGAATGGCTAAAACGTGTGAATTTAGAAGTTTTTGCCCAAAAATGTACGTGTGCAAGCGCGTGATCGCCGCGTGTTATACATCACTAGAAAGAGCAGGAAATTTCCGATAAGATAGATATGGTTCTATAGTTTTCTCCCTATCAAATAAGAAAGTTGTTTAGAGGAAGAGTATTTAAGCGTTTCTGCGTGTAGGGATGGACATTAAGGGTGATTTAAGCATGACGCCGATAGATATTGACCGACGAAAACCCGGATNGTCCACTTAAATAAATAATTTTATTTATACAACAAAACCTCGACATAATGGATTAATACGGGGAAGGGAGTGTCCGTTATAGCCAAAAGTCCGTTATATGAATAATTTTAATGCACAAAAATTCGGACAGCAATCCACACCGTTACGTGCAGTCTACATCGCTTTATATTTATACCAAAGGCGGCAAAATCTAAGAGATACATCCCGGGAACAAGTGCACAGCTCGAAGACCCGTTCATGACGTCACCGCTGAATAACAATTAAAACTAGAACTAACACTAGACTTAGAAAGTTCGGGTTTAGTACCTATGCGAAGTTAGCCCCCAATTTTTCTAGCCCCCAATTAGATAGGATTTTACATGTATAGTATTTTGATTATAACAAGAGAACCAGTCAACCGATTTCAATAAACAATGTCTCATTCGAAAGCTCAATCCTTGGCCAATACGAAAGTGAAAATACCCGATTCGCCAAAATAATCCGAAGGTACACGAAAATAATACAAAAATGACCTTTTTTAAGTGGTGATAACTCGTAAACTATGTACCCGATGATCAAGATCTATACGTCATTCGATTCGTCATAGTTTCTTCTATCGAAATCACAAAATGCCCGCTTTCAATTCTCTCCCGTTAACTTTATACAGCCCAGGGAATGACACCGTGTTCGGCTCGTTGTTTACGCACTTATGAACGCCCGAAAGTCTAGCCCCCAATATAAAAACTTATTACTTGAATTAAGTGATAAATGCGTGCTATTTATGCTAAGTGTTAGGTGATATTAGTGATGTGATATAGGACATCATGGGATTGCTATTTTATGGATGTTAAAAGGTATCGTATTAATTCATTTTTTTTTGTCACAATAAATTAGTTTATCGTTTCTTTCCAGCTGAGCTTCGAAGTAAAATCCAAGGAAAACAACATCCATTCGGTGAGTCGTTTTCAATTTTATTAATTGATCAAAACATATCGGGAAAATTCGCGATTTGAACTTTGTAATTTTTCCAAATAAAAACCGTTTGAACGCTACTCCTTGGATTTGTGCTTGAAAAACGGTACCATTCAATAAATTTTTACATTTTGTGCTTGACAAATTATAAAGCTTTAATCAAAATTGTCAAAACATGAAATAATTTGAAATTGAGTGTAAACCACTCCAAATAATACTAGTATAATTTAAACTTTTTAATGGGGGAGTCTCTTTTTCTTTGTATCAAATAAAGTGATTTCTTCGGGAATTTTTTGCTACCAAATTATGTGGTATTTCAATTTAATCTTTTGCATATGTTTTCATGATATATTTACTTATTTAAAAAGAATTGTTTATAGAAAATAATCTTTACATTGTCCCTCAACCAAGTTGGTACGTGGATTGTCTAAGTTGCTGGTTGACACAATATCTATCCTTGAAATGATCTGAAACTCAAAAATCAAATTATGTTCTTTTCTATACAGGGTGTCCCGTTAAGCGTACTGAGCGGCTGTATCTCTAGAACGGTAAGGCCAAGAGGTTTGGGAAAAAAATCCTTATAAGCAAAGTGACCAAGAGAAATAGCTGGAAATTATTTTGAAGTTCGTAATTCGACCGCTAGGGGGCGTAACTGCCATTGAGAAACATAAAGTTGCCGCTATCTCAGAAACTTAGACGATGAGCTATAACTTTGACAACATCATTTAATAGCTTGGATAATACCGCATCGCTTTTGTTTTGCGATATTTCTCATATCTGTCATAATAAGGGAGGG